TCACCGTCTCAAATCGTCAAGCGCACCCTTCTGCTCATGGCGCTAAGCCGTAAGCTGGATTACCGCAGTCTTGCATTTCGCGGGAAGTGGTTGAAAAATATTTTCGCTGGGGCTTGTTTCGCTGGTGGCCCTGGAAAGCTTCCAATCCAATCACTATATGTGTAGCATAGAGTCGTGCGACAAAAAAGGAGCAACACCAAATCAGACGCCACGGTCGGGATTTTTGGGAGATGGGCGAAGTGCTGTATAGTGCATTTTCATTCTCTCTATGTGTGTTTTTCATTTTCCGGGTGGCGTGGGGCAGTGGATTTCTGGAAGTCGACGACGCTCGGGGCGCGTTCATGTATGAAATATTCCGGCAAAATCTCCTGCCGAGCCGTGAGCCTGTGTCATGTAAGAATCACATGAAAAGTGGCATCCAAAATCGTATTTTCAGGAAGTTGATCTCATTCTCTGGCTTCTCTTTTTGCTCTATGCCTCTCAAAGAACTTCGCAATGCTCTATCGTGTCCTTTTTTATCTCGCTGAGCTTTCTTCCTTCACTATGTAAGCTTCCAGCGGTCCTTTTTCCGGCATGGTTTATGGTTTCACTAAACGATTTATGAAGCGAATTATGACTAATAAGTTCTACTTTGGTGCTCTATTTCCATTCATTCCTCCCTTCGTCCCTCGTATTGTCTCGCGTAATTACGCAAGTCACATTTTCAGCGTAATTTTCTCGGCTATCGCCCGAGGCAGAGGCGGTTGGGATGCAGCTTTGGCGCTTTTAGGGGTTGACGCCACACGATTTCCCCATAAAATGTGACAAAACCAATAAAGTTTGATTGAATGTGTTCTTTTTCCATTGAATATTTTTGCAGTCGTCCGTGGGCAAGTATGAGAAAGTGACTTATTGGAGTCATGTTTGTGCACACGAAACAACCGGACCCACAGACAGCTTTACCATAAAAGAGTCACTCTTTATTGTACCTTATCAATTTTATGGAAACGGCGTAGTTATAAAACATTGATATAACTTTCACAATAAAAAATAAATTAAGCCAATATTGCTCCCATGGCGAAGCACACACAGGGGACAAAACTACAAGCGAACATTTGCACTCTGGCTCTTCGCCACTTGCTTAAATGGTAAACTCGGTTGTTTGTTCTGGCATTTTAATGTGTGAATTTCACCCTCACTCGAAGTGTGGGCGGGAAATTATCGCGCAAATTGATCATTTTTACGGCAAAGAGATAAAATTGTGCCGAGTATTGTGGTGAATCTCAAACTTACTCAAACCACGCTCGACACTTGTGCAGCTTAACACTCCCCAAAATCCCAATGCCAGCAGTCCCTCGACTGATTTTATTGACTCTCCACACGGAATTTGTCTAGCTGGATGACGGAATAAAATTCACAATTTCAGCGAAAGAGGAAAACTGTGCAAGTTTCGCTATATATGTACTTATTATGAATTTTAAGGCATCGTTTTAAGAGACGTGATGGTTTAGTTAAGGACATGGTTTATTTATGACTTGGATAACACGTTTTTGGAATAACTATCGAAAAATTATCATATTCCACGACTCTATTTGGTTGTTACATTCGCTATAACAATAGGAGAAAATGCAAACATGCAGCATTATCATTCATCTCGTCAATTGTGAAATTTCACCCCAAAATCCAAAGTGTCGTAAATGGCAATAAATGCACGAAACACTGGAGGATGAATGCAATTTATCACCTTCACAATGCGAATAGTGAGAAAGTTTATGGACTCTAATGAAAAAGCGTACAATGCTGAATGGGAAAGTACGTTGATCACGTGAATCTTTCCGTTATTGAGTGGGTGGTTGGATAAATATCGTGCTGAGAACTTCACAACTCATTAACGTCTGGTGGGTTTTTGGAATAAATAAACACTTGTGGCGGAGATAAATATAAAATTTTCATTGTTTCTCTCAGTTATCTCGGAGGAAAGATGCAAAAATTGATGATTGGGAAGTGTTGGGAAGAAACTTCCGCTTCTTCTTTCCGGATTTCGTGATGGTGAAGAATACTGTATTGGTAATGCGCGCTGTTCTGATGGTGAATTGCTCCGTAAGTTTACTAATAAAAGTTTCTGTGAAAAATATTGGATTTTAATTTGTTTTTATGACTCCATTCAGTATGTGGGCTTGTGTGTGTGTGTGTGTATGTGTGTGTGTGTGGAAAGAGACTGGGATGAAATAGTATACAAGCAGGGAAGTTCAATCATCCCAAGTTTGGAAAGAAGAGGAAATAAATATCGGAATATATAGTTAAATCGATACATTTTTCACCCCAATGCGGAATTCATCCTGTGTTCTTTGCGTTTTTTTTCCTTCATTCTTCTATGAAAAGTTTTCGAAGAAACTGGGAGATGCAGTATGGTTTAATTGGGGCAAATCTGTTATCATACACATTCACCCAGAAGCACAGAATATTTGCCTTCCCCGTCTATTCCGCCGAGATGTATCCCACTTGAGCGAAAGTTCAACAATGAGCCATCCACCACCCAACCAATCAAGCACATCATCTTTCAATTTCAATTGCAAACTCTTCACTCTGCCACTCATTCTCCCCGGCCCAGATGTGTATTCATTGAGTGAACTCATCTTTCACGATTCCCACCCACTCAGTGAAACATTTACGTTGGGGGTTGAAACCGGTTTAATTTTAATTGGAGTAGTTCCATCCAATTCTCAGCCCTTTTGTCTTTCACCCTCCGAACGGGGAAACTTTCCGCCCACACCGCCAGACACATAGTTTGGATTTCGGCACGAGAATTTATCGACCTTTAAGTGCTGCCTAATCTTTCCTTTCGTCGACAGTATAGCACACACATTTCAAATAAATAGAGACTTTTGGATAAATGAGTTTCACCTCCAGTAGCGAAGGCGATATGGCTCTGCGAGAGTTTCCCAATTTTCACCCATGTCTTCTAGTCCTTTGAAGGTGTTGAGTTGAATTTTACGGGAGATTGTTGAAATTTATTTGCTCTCAAATTCTAAAAACCTCCCCCGACTTTTCTCTCGTCTAGAAAAACTTTTAAGTATTTATTTCGCAATTTAAAATTGCCATGTGAAGTTTTATTAATTTCACAAATGTGGCGAAACAGTTGTAGAACAACATAACCTCAATGTTGCTATGAAGTTTTTAAACTCCTTCATCCGATTATGCTCTTTCTTGTGCTAATTTCAAGACTCGCATGCACTAATATTATGATTTTCGCCCCTTTGTGTGCGATACTTTGAACTCTGAATGCCACTGGGGTTTTTGCAAAAAGCAGTGCGAAAATTTCTCCAAACTTGCTCGACAATTTGCACATGTTTCACCGAAAAGTTTCACAGCACGTGCCCTGAGGTGAGAGACGCAGAAGTCTCTGCAAATGAAGATGATGTTTCTGATGACGATAACACTGGGGACTCGCATGGGGTTGGCGGAATACCTTCGAGGGTGGAAACTGTAAGAAATGGTGTCGAAGGACTCAACATAGCGGAAAATTCAGTAAGCTCATCCAGTGAATAGGAGCCTTTGTGCGATTCTCTTGCTTATTTGGATTTGGTCGCACTATGAAAATTGAGTCTCTTTGCCATTTCTTTGGCCAGACTTGCGGAAAATGGATATTGATGGTAAACCTCCGGGACAACTCTCAACTATTGATTGCATTTGTAATTTTCTCTCATCCCAAATTTGCCTCTTAGCTTCTATTTAAAGAGAGGAAACGGATTGAGTTGTGAAGCACAACTAAGAATCTGAAGAGTTGTTGAATTGAATTCCTGTTATTGACCAGAATTTAATTCAAATTACCGCTTGTACAGGTTCTCCTGATTGTAAATTCCACCTAAACCCCGTGAGATCATCACCAAAGGTGCCTTATATTTCAATTTTTGCACAATTGCATCCACAAGGATGTCCCGTAGCGAAATTACAGGTGGAAAAAAGTGCAGAAATGAATAGATGCAGAAGTACGTGAATGGTGGCACACACACAGTGCACCTCTTAGGGGCAAAAGCGCGCCAATTTATGTCATCCCACCCCATTGAGTCCGCCATTGTCTCCGGGAACAAGCGAAGAGCTCCTCCTCCGTCCATGCTAGGGGGCTCCTTTGATCCCGAAAGGCTTACGTAAGCCGCACACCGTGTATTACACGTACAATAATAATAATTCAAGTCGTTCTCTAGCAACTTATGAGACACCATTCGGGCAGGGTGCATATGTGACAGGAGGATATCTTTCGCTGCGATATTGCATTTAATTGCGCCGCCTCTATCTCACCCACCGTGACAGATATAAACAGTGGCTGAGATAAATTCTCATACCCGTTCTTGGCACTTTAGCAGCTCATGTCGAGTGAATACAGAGAAGGATTTTTGAATGCACTTCACTGGAGTCCAATTAGTTTGCTAACAAGACTTTTTATGCTGTCTTGCTGCAAGCTGAGCCACAAAAAAGGAGGAAAGGACTTTCCCAATTATTCGACAACATATGTGAAATTCTAATTGGAAACTTTGATGATATTGTTGTGAAATGTCGCATATTTTTGCATATAGTTTTACACTTTAATCAATGTTGTGAAGTTATAGAAAAATATTCCTGCACTTCATTGTGCATGTTAATAAATAATTGGCAATGGATGTTCACTCTTCAATATCGTAACAGTGAAGCTTTTCAGTTCTAGTTGCAGAGAAACTTTGAGAGGAATTGTTGAGATATGGAAAATACGGGATGTTCCAGTGAACATGAACTCGACAAGCTTTTCCATGAACATTGTTTGCATGGAAAACCGCACACTTTGGCGAGAACTTTTTGCATTTATATTGCAATTATAAGCGAAAAATGGGACGGACGGATAGGGTGAAACTTGTCGATGGAAACTTTTGAGGAAATACTTAAAATTCCCAGCGCAAGTTCGTCCTACATAAAAATGAGGTCTTGGAAGATTTTCATTCTACGGCTCTGATTTTCCCCATACATCTTCTTAATGACATTCGCAACACTTTGCTGCTTTTTTAAATGCGTATTTATTAGATATTTTACATTATTGCCAAGTCAATTTTCCAAGCGTTTTTCGTTCCAAAAGAACTTTCAATCTGTATCCGTTGAAGTGGTTGAAGAACTTGGAGGCGTAGGCGAAGATGTTGGCGTATTTGTAGGCGGGCCTGTAGGGGCGGTTGATGAGGCCGGCACAGTTGTTGATGCAGGCACAGTTGTAGTTGCAGGTGCTTGAGTGGTGACTAGAGGAGTGCAACTCTTCTTCACGCACATTTGTTTGCCCGCATCGAAAGCGTAGCCAGCAGGACACTTGACTTTAGCCACTTGGAAGACACCACCGACTTTGTAGCAAGTATAGTAACTGGTGCAATCTGTGACATCCACAAAGTTGCCCTCCTTGGTGCATTGGAAAGTGCATTTGCCCACTTTCTCATCGTACTGACCGTTGACTTCATCCGTGCATCTCATTAATACAGTTTCCTTCTCATTTTTATTGGATAGGCAGAAATAGTAATAAGCGGGGTCGGATTTGTACACGCCAAATTGATTAGGAGTCTTCGAGCAGTCGACAGTAACGCAATCCATGGCGCTAATTATGCGAAAAAGTTGTTTAGCAATTACGTTTAAGATATCGACTAACATATCTTTACACTTACTTGCTTTTCACTCCACATCCTCGTAGTTTGGATTTATAAATGAAATTTGGGGGACAAATATAGGCCACGGCAGTGGCTCCTTTATCTGGACAGATGAAGTAGCTCGAGCACGAGTTGGGATTGGGAAAGTATCCCTCTGCAGTGCATCTGAATTTAGCTGCAGGCTCCTGGCAAGTTTGATCATTCTTGTCCGGTGTTGCTGAGCACACACTGCCAACACAATAAGGAGTCTTGGGATTCTTCTCGGCACAATTCTCCTTATTGGCTGGTGGATCAGATCCGAGACAGCTCTGAATGAGAGATGTTAGTGTTATTTATCTGGTGAGTGTGCACAAGTCGGTGAAGTGTCACGGAAATCGCTTACCAATAATGTGCGGCAATCTCCGCATTTTGGTCCGAAAGTATTTCCACAGGTGCCAGACGCAGGTGGATTAGCCCTTGCGAATCTTCTCAGGACGGGAACTCCGGGAACAACTTCTTCATGTTCTTCACTGACAACAAGAGTTGCCAAGACGAAGGCGGTCAACAGGAGAATGGCTGTTTTCGGCGACATTTCAGCTGAAACTGACTCTCTAAACTGCATCAGCCTCTTTTATACCTAGTGACAGACTTGTAAAGTTCTAATCTTATCTGAGAGGAAATGCAGACATCAAATATAATCTGACTGCATCTAACACGTGGTGATAGTGCATAATTGCACTGATAAGATCAATGTAGTCCATTCATAATTCTCCTGTGTGATTTATGGCAAGAGTGTTTCGGAGAAATTTCCGGGCTGTAAGGCAGCTTAACGAGGGAAGAAAGGGGATTTTCTTCAAACAATCTCGTTTTCTATTTGCGAGGCATTAGAATTATACAATGCTGTACTTATTGATACAGTGGGAATTTATTACTTTCTCTAATTGGGGTAATAAAATGTGCTAACACAGAGCAGTCTTGTAAACAGATCAATTAATCAATAAGATGCATTATGAGGAACAGCAGTGCTATTATTTATTGGCGTGTGAATGTACTTGAAACTTCTTGATGACACATTTCCTAGAAAATATGCTTTATCCTTCAATCTTCGTAACTGAAAGAATAATGTTCCCACCTTTTTTTATGCGTATTTCATTCAGCATCAATTGAAGTGAACGATTTGGCGTGAAGGAACTTTCACACCTGCTTCTCTATTTAATTTTCATCCAGGGGTGAATGTTTTTAATTGCGAGCAATTTGACTAAAAGCCATTATCTTGGAGTAAAATTTCAATTATCGAGGGGCGGCGAGGTGATGTTTGAACCCCTTGATGTGGCCCCGAAAAAGTCAGGTTGTGCGGCAAGGGAATCTCATTGTGAAAGAGAAAGAGAGAGAGAGAGCGTTGGAAATAAATTAATGGCTCAGGAGAGTGCCGTAGTTAGTCAAAGCTATTAAATTAATTGTTTTCAATGACTGCGTATTTTATGGGAAGTTTCACTCGTCCTTTCCGAGGTGTGACTCCTCCAATTGATTCAGGGCGGATGCTAAATGCTTTAGCGCTTCCTGGACATTCAAATGGGTGTTAGAGTGCCGCTTGTCGGGAATTATTTAACATCATTTAATTGACTTTAGAGATGGTGTTGTTTTATGGTGGGTTTTCTTGTGCCCCTGAAGAGATGAAAATTCCTTCTCTTCTGACTTTTCTTAACGCGATATATGATGTATGTGTTTAGTGTATGGTGAGTTTTCTGATGGCGGTATTGTGAAGGAAAAGTTGCTCGTGGCCTTTTTGCTGCAGCATATGAGGGGAACAGTCAATTGCGGGGCAAAGTTCTTTGGCGCATCGAAGCCTTTGTGCGGAGAATGTGAACGATTGAATGATGGAAATCCTTATTTGTGACTCTATATATCTGTGAATGTGTAGCTGGCAGGATGTGTGTTACATAGCAATGTAAGCAAAAAACAATTTCAATTAGAATGAAATGCCCCGAAGCAATTACTGGACATTTAAATGCAAACAATAGTACCATTTTCAATCGAAAGTCGTCATGGGGATCCAGCACGAGACACAGCGAGAGCATGTCTGCGAATTTGTCCCTTTTACCATCAAATGTACATACTATATAGCCGTCCCTGGTGCCGTGAGGGTGGGTGAATGGTGGGCAAAAGAACACGACCATCCCGTACAAATGAACACCCAGAGCTTATATTTGCTTAAAGCTCCCTTGTCCGTGAACGTGCGGCGTGCGAATTGGTCGGGCTGCGATGCTCCGACAAGAAGCGGAAAATGGAGTTTTAATGGTATTTTCGAATAACATTCCGTTAATTGGAGTTCGTTTTTAATTATTTGGTGCCTCAGTCTCTGTGGTGTGCATCGCTCTTGTGTGCTTTCTAAAAGCTCTCGCGCCGCATAGTGAATATTCATTATCATGGAAATGTTCCTCGATAGTCTTGGATCGTATATTGATTTAGATAAAATAATTGCTGAATTAAATATGTTCTTAGTAGCGTGAATTTATACATCTGTCGGCTCTTGTTGAGACACCGCCTCCTGGCCAGCCCATCTGGTATCTTGCGTGCTTGCTTGCAGGTGTTCTGTTGGCACGACGGAAGAGTGAATTCGAGGTGAGGGACGAGGCCACAGAGAATCGCTCAAGTGGCGGCTCTGTGGCTTCGGATCGGACCACATGAACACACATTTCAGGGCGGGAGTGAGCCATAGGCGGAAGTAAATGACCGGTGAATTAACGGAAAGGGAGCGAGATTCGTGTGGTTTGTTGGTTTCTGACTCTCCCATGCAACGCGCATTTGGCGTGGACCAGAGACTTACAAGGTTGCAGTGTGAGTTGGCTTTCCTCAATACTTTTCTCTCCCACACTCATTTCTCCGTCTCACCCCGTTTCCAGACCGTCGACTGGCTTTGGCGATGCAATGAAGAGAATTTCTCATTTCGTTTATGTTAAAAGCTTCACGGGGCTTTCACTTATCCTGCCCAGACTTTCCATTTTGACTTCATTCATTTTCATTTCAACCGGTGATGTTTTATCAAGAAAATTTCCACAGAATAGACAGTCTGCTCTTTTTTTATCTGGTATTCTGAGTAAAAATTTCTCATATTATCTGATCTTTTCGCTCAGCTCTAGTACGTGTGTTAGCGATGAAGACTGGATGTCTAACTCGGATGAGGTGTCAGAAGGCGCTGCATTTGTATCTCTCTCGTTTCGGCATCTCTGCAGCAGGGAACGAATAAATAACCATTGACGCACAGTTGATTGAAATATTGTGGGCTCAATATTCTCAAAATTGTCGTTGATCAAATGAAATAGAACCATTTTTATGAATCTAATGACGGTTGTAACCTTGTTAGACATCGAGTGATTTGACGCGAAGTTGAGCATTTCGACGCTGAAACTTGGTTTTTTGTACTATGTGCTGTTACTAATGTCCGAAATGATTATATGAAGAAGAAGTGCTGCGCTGTGAATTACGAAACGTCGACTTTTGACAATGTGTTCGCGCCACTTAAGAAGCCATAAGAGAGCCTCTCTTATTTCTTAAAATTTGCGCAATTCATCGACTTCACTTGAGCTGAATTATACTCGGGCACGATCGTCTGACTCCGTCGCCATTCAGCAACTTCCTCAATCAGAAGTGAACTTTTCAAAAACAGGAGTGAAATTTTTTAATCAGAAGTGAACTTTCTAATACAGGTATGAACTTTTTAAAATAGCAGTGAGCTTTTCAAAAAAGGAGTGAACTTTTTTTTAAAAAAGAAGTGAACTTAGGAAAGAAGCTATATTTGCACCCTTAAATTTTGAACTTCAAAATGTCCTCAATGAGTATTTTTAAGGGGTAAACATGTGACGCAATCACCCTTCACATAACATCTAGGTTACAATACCTACAAATATTGTTGGTGCAAACAATGTACTTTATGATCTATTTCTTATGATTTGTGCACCTCTACACCCTGATAACTCTTTGACACCGTTGATTATATTCGTGGAGGGATCTCAAGTCACTAAAAATCATTTCTGTAACAATTTTTCATCACTCTTGTGCACGTTTCTTGATGTAACTCCTCCTGAAAATAAATTTCCTTCGTCCCTAAGGTGGAGCGTGGAGGAGGAGTGTACTCACGACTCAATTCAGACTTCTTTTTTCGCATTGTAATTGAGCAGAGCAGAGAAGTCGCTGTACGTTACCAAGAAAGGGGTGGCATTGTGAAAAGTCTCACATGAGTGCGGGCCTAGTTTTGAGTGTGAGTAATTTCTGCTTGGACACTTGCCAGGCGAAATTTAAGAATTGCAACTGTTCGCCACGGGCACTTTATGCTAAATGACCTGAATCGAATTTTAATGCAAACGAAGCTTTGGGGCTCAGACATGTCGCACCGCCAATCACCCCCTCGAATCACCCCTTCGATGCATGCACGCTTGGCGCTAAACCCCGGAATTGCGCTCGCTTTTTCCTCCAACATCATCGTGCTCCTTTTGCACGGTGCCGAGAAATGCATTCAACTTTAACAACATAATTGATCCTCTGCAATCTCCCTGTATTATACATATAATACTATGCACCCGGGAAATTCAAAGCTCAAAGCTCACCACTAAAGCTCTGCTGTAAAGTGATCTGGGGTGTGAATCTCTCTTTGTCGGTATTTTTGCGGGCTGTGCGTTGGCATGAACTGCTCAAATATCAATTTTTACCATTGATTTCCACTCAAGACAGTTGTCAATGGTGCCACGAAGGATCTCTCCTGGGGCACTCGAATTTCAGTGAGGGCGAGAAGGAGGGTGAGAAGCACGGGATGGGCGGTGAGTTGGGAAAAGTGAGACACGCCGGAATTTCGTGTGATATGATTTTCTTGTTTATTCAGTGAATATCGAGGATATTTGAAAAGTGTGTGTGTGTGCTGTTTTTCCTTCCTCGTCCACCCACTCCACGTGACAGCATAAAATATATGTCAGAGTGACTTTGGGCATGTCGATAAAAATTTGCTCGCACTGCTCGGAGCCTTCTCGTGGCGAATTATCCACCCCCGCACGCCGAATACAATTTATTTTATCGAAAAATTCGGGACGGGCCACCACAACATGTTCTTATATATGCGCTGCAAATATTTGCCAACTGTTTTTTCTTGAGGGGATTATGTGCGAATGTGAGTGCAAAAAACCAACTCCCAGAACACTCGGGAATCTGCCCAGCCACTTCGCATGTCATATTTATTGGGGAGAGAGTTTCCTTGGGACAAAAAACCGCACTCTCGGGCGATGATTCATCCGCGTGGAACAGCCTATCCGCCCTAATGAATCTCAATGTCTGCCCACACTCTTAAAAACTTTTCTCTCAAGCGAATCATTAACAAATTAGCAAAGCCCAAAATTTAATTAGGATTCGCTAATATTATCTCCAGTTGTATTCTTCGGCCAAATTATTCCATTCTCGCGAAACTTTTTTCTGCGTGCACATTCAACCTTCCCCGCGCGCTTTCGATGGAAGGATGCGCAAGAAGAAATGTGGAATTAGCAAAAATTAATATTCAAAGGGAAATTAGCATCTTGATAAGGGTAAGGGAGAAAAAAAGTTTAACCACCAATGGGACAGAATATTGCTTAATTAAT